TTATCTTTTCACTTTTCAGGATGTTAGGAAAAATTTCGTCCAGCAGCTCTTCAACTATCTCCTCTGTGGACTTGTGTAATTCTTCCTGTTCCAGAATGCCGGTAATTCTTAAGTTATTCCTCTTCATGTTGTCCAACATGAATCTTAGGACTTCTTCAGACTTTTCAATTCTTTTTTGTGCTTACTCTTCTATCTTATTAGTGTTGAGAGATTTATCTTCTAGAAAGCTCACTAGTTCTGGCTTCCATCTCTTCAATTCCACTTCTTTGCCCTTTCAGTGTATTGTCCATATCTGATATTGTATTATTAATCATTTGGACCTCTTTCTGTAAGTTTTTAATTGTTTCCAATGCTTTGTCTATCTTATTTGATTATTCCTGTAGTGCTTTACCGACTTCTTCCTTATTTTTCTCAACTATTTTGTATAGTATTTTGATACACTTTAGGATCATTTTTCTGAATTCCTTCTCAGGCATGTCCAAAGCCTGCCCATCTTCCAGTATGGAGTGTAGGTCTACTTCCAGCTCATTTGCCTCAGTCACTTTACTTCGTTTCTGGACATGTGCAGATATGGCCATTTGCTTCTGTTTTTTTGGGCATATTCAGGAGTTATCTGTGGCCTTAATACTTATATGGGTGTGTATTTTGGTATTTTTAATGTTTTTTATTGCTTCCAGATAGATACGATTAAGAGACTGGCTTCCTTTTTCACTCTTTTTCCTGAGAAATTTCAAGATGCCACTGTTGGTTGTTGTGACATAACTCAGGATGTAATTTTTGGCCTGTTTCCTTTTTAGCCTGCCTGTCTTGCTCCACAATCCCTGTTCAGGGCCAGCTGTAGCCCTTTTGCACTGTGGTTTGGTGTTAAGTGGAAACTGTTACTTTCAATTTCGAGGAGATCTGTGCGCATGTGTAGTAGAACCTTCCAGGGGTGGGGGTGGGTTGTCCACTCACTCAGGCACTCCTCTAGTCACCAGAATGGAGTTGCACAGATAGTGAGAGACCAATGAACAGATATATATATATATAAAAAGAATGTCCTCACCTTTATCTCTGCAGTTCTGTCAGGCATCTGTGGCTGCTCTGAACCTTCCCCAACGTGGGCTCGCCCAAGATGGCAGCTCCGGGAGCAGCTGAGCATTTTGAATTAGAATGCAATGGATTTCTTGCTTCTACTACAAATTCCCCTAGCTGTAAGTCTTCCAACATTCTAAATATTCCTTTATATGCGTTTCAGAGTTCTGGCACCATCCCTGAGCCTGCTTGGTCAGGTATTTTGTGTTGCTGCTGACGGAACGCCTCACTGCACTTGTACCCAATCTCCCATCTTGTTTGTTCTTCCCCAACTTAAGTTTTAATGTAACCAGAGTGCGGACAAATTTTTAACCACCCTTGTAAATACTCAATAAATAATTGTAAAGCAAAATACTAATGTTTCTAATAATAGACTACATTTGAAATTGGTAAGATAACAGTTTTGTTGACTTACCCCCTTGAGCTGCAAAACTGCCATGTAAAGCTTGAGTAGCATTATCAGTAAGCAAGTTTCAAATCCAGCCATTTGGTTGTTGTGTTAGGTATCATTGAGTCAGTTCCAACTCATAGCAACCCTGTGCAAAGGAGAATGAAACACTACCCAGTCCTATCCATTCCTCATAATTGTTATCATGCTTGAGCCCATTGTTGTTGCCACTGTGCCCATTCATTTTGTTTGGGCTCTTCCTCTTTTTCATTGGCCCTCCACTTTTCAAGCATAATGCCTTTCTCCAGGGACTGGTCTATCCTGATAATATGTCCCAAGTATGAGAGACAGACTCACCAACCTGTCTTTTAAGGAGCACTCTGGCTGCACTTCTTCCAACACAGTTTTGCCTGTTCTTCTGCTAGTTCACAATACCTTCAATATTCTTCTTCAACACCCAAACTCAAATGCACCAATTCTTCGATGTTCTTCCTTATTCATTGTCTAATTTTCACATGCATATGAGGCCACTGAAAATACCATGACTCGGGTCAGGCATTTTATCTTTGCTCTTTTCCTTTTATCTCAACCTTTTATCTTTGCTCTTGAATATTTTAAAGAGGTCTTGTGCAACAAATTTGCCTAATGCAATACATCATTTGATTTCTTGAGAGCTGCTTGCTTGAGTGTTAATTATGGACCCAAGGAAAATGTAGTTTTAGACAGTTTCAACTTTTCTCCATTTAACATGATGTTATTTATTGGTCCAGTTGTGAGGGGTTTTGTTTTGTTTACATTGAAGTGCAAAAGATTGTGGTCTTTGATCTTCATTAATGGATGTTTGTAACTTTTTCTCCTCATTTTGTGTTGTACCCTATCGACATAAGAGGGTACCAAAACCTTTACTCCACTTGTATCGTCATGGTCAACTGTACTGTGAAGAGGCAGCTCTTCCCCAGTCATATTTTTATTGCTTTTCTTCCTGAGTGGCTTATATCTGGCATTCTTTCTGACATTATTCTGGTGTTATTTATAATGTGTTCATCTTTCGTAAATATATCTGACAATGTTCCGCTGCTATTCATAAGGTTCTCAGTGACTAAACATTCAGAAGTAGTCTGCCTCTCCTTCTTAGTCTGGAAGTCCCACCAAAACCTGCCCACTATAAGTGACCCTACTGGTATTTAAAATACTAGTGGCATAGCTTCCAGCATCACAGCAATATGCAAGTCACCACAGTATGACAAACTGACAGACGAGTGGTAGGTATTTGGTTAGGTGGCTGAAAGTATTAGGATTGAATGACATATGGAAAAAGGTTAAGGATCATTTAACAATCCTTTATCTTTTGTATGATTTCCTAATCTAAATAAAGAATGTGCCCATTACCTCCAGAGTCCACAATCGAAGGTGTCCATCCTCATGTGCAGTGACAAGGATAGGTGGTTGAACTTCTGCTAAACTGGAACCTCCAAATTGTTTTTTGTTCTCTAGCTGTTGCTTTCCCACCACACTATCTGTGTTCTCACCTATTGAAGAAATTGTTGAATTACGGTGTTTGCAACAATTGGAATTCTGAATTTTATAAAACGATAAAGAGGGAGCAGGTGGAAAACAGCAAAATCAATACTTTAATTTCCCTAGATTTTTTTTTTTTTTAACCTCTAAGTATTTCAATCAGGCCAGAAACAAAAGCACTAAAACAATTATAGCAAAAATTCAAGTGGCATTCCAGATCATTGCAAAACCTCTACATTACAGCTAAAACTAGATATATACCCAGACTTGCATATTAGACTATTATACAAATGTAGTAAAAATGTTAGGAAAATTGACTGGAAGCTAAGAAGTTCAGTAATATTAAATTTTTTTTAAAATCTAGAAGGAGTATCAAAAAAAAAGTCATGATAGAAATTCTGCATAGAAGTAGTGCCTTAGGACTACAATCTCAATATTTAGTGGCAACAATAATATATATGCATTCATAGGATGCTTTTATTACTTAAAATCCCTATTTCAAGGGAACTTTTTTATGTTAGAAAAGAGAAGTGATTTCATACTGACCTTTAACTTCAGTATCATGTATGCTCTGTTTACTTCCCTGAATTAGGGGACAGAAAAGACAATATTTCTATAAAAACTTATTTTGAATTAATTCTCTGAAAAATTGTAATGCATAGATTTTCATGCTCATAACTAGAGAATGCGTAATATAACATTTCCCTAAGGGCTCAGGTATATCATCATATCAGTAATTAATAACCTGTGCATGCCAAATCTTTGTGAATATTATCTCTAAGTGTAAAGACAATCATGCAAGTTAGGCTTTATTGTGTCCTTTTTACTGATGAGAAAACTGAAACTCAGAGAGATTAAGTGGTATTTCCAAAGTTATTGAAACTTGGATTCATGTATAAGTCTGTCTGATTCTCAAGTTCTTTTAAGTTTATTCTTAACACAATGCTAGTGGCTTTCAAAGTTTTTTTTTTTTTTTTTTTTTTTTTTGTAATGGAAATTTTCCTTCAAACAGTGACTTAACTAGAAAGGTAATATGTAAGAACAAAAAATTGGAACTGGGGACATTGCTTGAAAAGAAGTGTTGTTTTATATTGTGTTGCCTCTTTCTCCTGTGAAGTACAAATAAAAACAAAAACGAACAAGCAAACACACTGCCATGAAATCAGTTCCAACTCAGCAACCCTATAAAGCTTCTAAGGCTGTAAATCTTTCCAGAAGCTGACTGTTACATCTTTTTCTCACATAGCTTTGGTGGGTTCAAACCACTAGCCTTATGGTTAAAATTTGAGTACTTTAGTGACAGTTCCACTAGGGCTCCTTAAAATATGTATATCCATAATAACCAAATGCAGCATCAGTGAGTCTATTCTAACTCATGGTGACTCTACAGAGGGTTTCTGAGACTGTAAAATCTTTATGGGTGCCAACAGCCTCACCTTTCTTCCAACGAGGGGCTATAGGTTTTGAACTGCTGACCTTGCAGTTAGCAGACCAACACCTAACCTGTAGGCATGTGTAGAATATGTATAGTATTTATTTTTTGCATATGTATGATCTAAATTTACTTTATTATTTTAATATAATAAACATAGCATATATAGTTAATTTTTTCATTATCATGTATTGATTACTCATAGATGTGAAAGTACTAAAAAAATTGTGGTTGCTAAGTGCCATCAAGTCAGTTGCAACTCATAGGAACTCTGTATAGGGTTTCTGAGGCTGTAAATTTTTGTGGTAGTACAAAGCCTCATTTTTCTTTATTGGAGCAGCTGGTGGGATTAAACTGCCAACCTTGTGGTTCATAATCCAGTGCTTATTCTACAGAGCCACTGTGCTCCCAGTGAGAAAACAAAAACAGTTTAAACAACTGATTTTTAAGGAAAACAAAAAATATAGTTTTCACAAATACACAAGCACACAGATTTTTTTCTACCTTTATATCCCATTGAAGGAGGGACTCAAATGGTAAATATCTTTTTTTTATACTATTTTTGGATCAGTATTGGGTAGAATAAGAAGACACACTCATCCTATTTGTTGCTTACCTTGCTACTCTGTGGACCCCTACTAGAGTCACATTGGGATGAAGAACATATGGAATCCTGACTTGATCTCCTACAAAGGAAGGAAGCCCAAGGAGAAAAAGTCAAAATAGTCTCTAGTACTCTTGTCTCTGCTTTAATTTTAGTTGATTGATTCTTTCATCATCAGTGGATAGTGAGCCATTCACTTATGAAACCAATCATGCTTTATATTTGTGTGACAAATGTTCAACAGTATGGTGTTTTCAGATTAGGGGGAGGTGTCCCTATCCTGTCTCACTTCTAAGGTTAGATTTAGTTCCAGAGGCTCAGGCACTGAGATGGTGAGGTTGAGGTTGACAGGCCTGGCTAACCTCCTGCTCTACAGTTTCCAGTTCTGATCTTGTCCTGCACCTGTGACTTGGCTGGATGTGATGAAAATGATTTGAAATCCTAGTTCAAATGTATACAGAATCCAAGGCCCAAATCAAACTCACTGCCTTTGAATTGTTTCAGCCTCATAGAGACCCTACAAAACGGAGGAGAACTGCCTCATAGGACTGCTGAAGCTCTGAATCTTTTCAGAAACAAACTGTCAAATCTTTTTCCCAGAAAGTGACTGGCAGGTTCAAACGGCCAACATCTTTAGGTTAGTGTATAAGTGCTTTAACCATTAAACCACCACATCTTCTTTACATACAGAACTGGCCCTTAATTATTCTCAGAATAGTTGTAATGAACTTGTAAGACAAGGAGTAGGGAAGGTGTTATATGATGGTTTATACGGTTTAAGGTGTTATATGTTGGGCAGCCCAACACTAGCAAGGAAACTTCTGATTTTACTTCAAAAATGCAGTTAATATTTTTGTATGAAAAACCAAAGATTTAAGCACATATAACTAGGAAAAACGTCCAAACTTTTAAATTTAAAATGTTTAGAAAATGATCACCTATCTATATGAAATAGATGGGGTGATCTTCTATACTTGTTATAGAATTCCTTTGACATCAGTGTTCATAACATTGTTGTTGTTGCTAAGTGCCTTCAAGTTGGTTCTGACTCATAGTGACCCTGTATAGGGTTTCGGAGGAACAGCTGGTGAGTTTGAACCACTGATTTTGAGGTTCAAACTGACCTTGCAGCCTAGTGCTTATCCTACAGCACCACACCAGGACCCCAACTAGATTCTGGTTAAAGGCTGACTAGTGGGCGTTTCCAATCTCTGCTCCTCTTGTAAAGGAAACTGTGAGGATGATATTTTAAGGAAATCACTCCACATATAAAAGAAGTAACAATAGGACAAGTAAGTCTAAACAAGATAGTCAACTTAACATTTGCCTTCCTTCAGTTGTACCTTCTTTAATATGATGATAAGGAAAACGATTCCTAGATTACCCACATAAGTCCTAGACTGTATTACAAGAGGTACCTTGTAGTACTGAGTTACCTTGCACATTCAGGGGTACGAAAGAGGAATAATATGTCATTAATTCTAAAACGTTTGGGATCCAAGTCAGGGTCCACAGTAAAGCAATCTTCAGGTCGGTACCTGGAAATATAAGCACATGTTAAAAGTTTATAAATTAAGTAACTAATATGTTTTTGATTATACAGAGGTAACCAACTCCTCAAATGTTGATAACATTGAAAACAGAGAAAAAACCTAGAGGCTTGAACATATCCTCTTTAATGTTGTTACTGGGTGTCAGTGAGTTGATTTTGCACTTTTATTAACTCCACTTGCCAAAGTAGAACGTCTTAATGCAGCTCACCAGGTCCTTCTCTTGCAGAACAGCTGATTGGTTTTAAACCACTAACCTCTCAGTTAGCAGTTAAGCACTGAACTATTGTGCCATCAGGGTTCCTATTTTCTTTTTTAAAAAAAATATATACATTTAAAAAGTTCTGTTTCCATTAGATTTTGCATTCCTGTGTGTCTTCTTTAATACATCTTTAAAAATTGATAAGTTTAAAATGTCTTTTGATTTAATTATTGGTCTAACCCACTACCATACATATTCCTAGGCAATTTCCTAGAGCAGAATCACATTGCCTAACTTCACATAATGACTGATACTGCTTGGCTCTTTATACCATATTTAACATTCCTTATAGTCAAAGGAGCACTGGTTGGGCTGCTAACTGTAAGCGCAGCAATTCCAATCTGTCTGTCATCCCACAGGAGAAAGATGAGGCTATTTGTTCCTGCAAAGATATACAGCTTTGGAAACCCTATACAGGTCACTGTGAGTTACATGATTTGACAGCATACCACCAAGAACAACACAGTCAACAGATCTTATAGCAAAATGTCTCTTTTTAGTGGAATTTCCTCTACTAATTTGGGATGATGGCTGGAGAAAGTCTAGAAAGCAAAGCAAGTTGAACAGAGAATCCAATGGGCTTAATGACTTGTTGAGATAAAATTTTTTAGCTATTTCTGCTGTTCAGATGGATCAAATAGTGAAGTGGATTATCAATTAGCAAGAAAAAATTTGAATCTAGGTCAGAGGAAGCGTGAAATTTAGGGTAGGAAAAGATGGGCTATTTCTCTTGACTGGTGAAGAAAATTTAGGCAAAGTTTAAGGGACAGGTAAGGATGGTCTCCACCTTGAATAGCAAAACCATTTTTATTTAAAATTTTTTTTAAGCTGAGGTTAAATTACCTTATGTAGTCAGGTGTTAAACTATGTTTGGAGAAATACTTTAGTGATCCTAAATCAATTGCTTAAATATAATCATCTTCCTGTAAGAAGGGGATACTACATATGGCCTGTTACAGTTGATTTTTTCTGATGGATACTGAATTAGCAATGTATCCCTTGATAAAATGCTGGGTCACATCAGTAAGAAGGATCCCCATCTTTCATATGGGAATATTTTCTGATGAACTGCCCACTTTTTAGCCAGAGGACAATGGTCTGTACCTTTAAAATTTATCTGTTTAGTCTATTAGCCTCAGAAACCCTGTACAGGGTCGCTATGGGTCGGAAACGACTCGACGGCACTTAACAACAACAACAACAACATACAAGTTGACACAGTGTGTGAACTGCATTCAAATAAGGGTGAGGAATTGTGCAGTTTATAAAGGCACTTCAAAAAGTTTGTGGAAACATCTTATTATATTTTAATGCCATTTTTGAAAACCTGATATATCACGTAGTACACACCCATATAGGTACCAAACGACAAGTATAAGTCTGTGAGAAAGGCCTAAAAACAAGAGTTTCAGAACACAACCTGAGGGGTCACAGGAGTTCTAGGGGTGGAATATAGACTAAGGTAGAGCAAGAAGTGTTGACAGGAAAAGCCATTTCAACTAAAGGTTAAAAGGAGACTAAATTTAGAGTCCAAACAAGTAAGGAATATTTCCTTGAAAAAGTTAACGACATGTAATGACTGAGACCTGGACTGAGAGAGAGTACAGGCTCTGTAGTCCAGTAGTATGTAAGGCATTATTATCAGAGAAATAGAGATTTACTTTGATTTTTCCTTTTCTTTTCTCGTTTACATTTCAATTCTAGTCTCTTCTCCTGTATGTATCTTCCCTTCCCCAAAATGCTTGAAACCAACTTGTTTTTAATGGTAAAGTTAATGTTTATTGTACAAGTTCTTGGCCATCCCTCTCTAGTACATCAAAGTGAAACTTTACAAACCCTAGTGACATAGGGTGTCCACAGACGTCCCTTGTTTACAGCCCAATTACATAATTATGGAGACTGCATTAATTGCATTTAATCTATTGGAAATCATATAATGTTACATATTTCCTTTATAACCATTGGCAAGAGCATTTAGAAATGGTGACAAGAGGTTGTAAACTTTTTAGCCATGGCACAAAGCAAATCAAATTGGATGAGATGTAAAAATTCACCTGATGCATTGGTCTTTGTTGCTATTTTCCTGAAATGTATGTGTAGGGGTAAAGCATAAATAGGAAAATACATCTAGGATGCCTCTCACAATTTGACTTTGGTTATTGTGCATGGGTGGGGGTTATCACTGGGAATACAATAAGGGAGATGCTTTCAGGAAGCTCTAGGTTGGGAAGGAGTATTGGGCATGTGGCACTCTAAGGGTCTCAGTAGCAATCTATGTTGAAAATTGCCATTCAACAATTGGATGTATGTGTTTCAAGATCTGGAAGGATTTTTTTAATGCTTGACATTATTATTGAAGTGTTCATTAAATCCATGAATCACACAAAAAGAAAGGGTCAAAGCTCTTAGGAATACAGATTCTTAAAGTTCATCTTATTCTGGGAACTAGATCTTAAAACATAATTGTCTCATGAGCATAACCTCATGGAAAACCTCCTTTGAGATTTATCACCACTTTTATATCTAGATTTTTGCTGTAGCTGTTTTTTTTTTTTTTTTTTTAAGTGTTGCATGTTACTTTAATTCTTTTGCAGTGCAACTTATTAATAAGTGAAAGGTACAACTTACACTTCTGTGACAGTACACGTGACAAAATTCCATAAGATGATCACACCATTTAAGGTTCCAGCAGCTATCAAATTATACCCTTCCAATTGTAATAAGTCGATGCAGTTCACTTCTATACTGATAGCAGGATTCTAAAGGGCAAAAGAAATAGATTCACCCACCATCACCATCACAGTGGGAACAATATATGCACACTCTATAGTTGTCATTAGTTTTAAACAAATATTTTACATTTTCTTGAAACTCTGAGTATAAAATTTCCCCCTCTCATCTGTCAGCTTGTGGTGATTTGTAAGTTGCT